TCTTCTGCGTGAGGAGGGACATGACCACATCATCACCATCCGTCCACAGAGACGACTCGACCCTAACACACACACCCCTCCCCTGGTGGAGGGTAGAAGGGTGGGAACACAGCGCGTAGGTGCTAATTCTGAAAATGTCATCAGTCTGCCCGCACCCTGAAAGCCTAGCCCCCCATCCCCACCCAACCTGCCGCCCAGGTCTCACTGTCTCCCATTCACCAGAGAACTCTAAGCTGCAAATCCGATCTAGTTACTATTATAACACGCTCACAAACCTTCCTTGAGACAATGGCCTGTATTTGTCGCAGCATCTTTTTTTTTTTTTTTTTTTTTTTTTTTTTTTTTTTTTGGGGGGGGGGGGGCGCCAGAGAGAGACAGAGAGACAGAAAGCAAGAAATCACCCCGCAGGGGAGATGGCCACGCTGCAATCCCTTCTCCTCCATTCTCCTCTTGGGATCTTGGGCAAGCACACACATGAGCCCAGCGTGAGTTTAAGCAACAGGGTCCGGTACTCGAAATGCAGTCGACTACGTGGGAGTCCAGCGACATAGCCATTATGCTAACTGCTGGTCCCTGCAGCATCATTTTTAATAGTAAAATAGTGGGCATTACTTTTAACAGTGAAGAGTGGAAATAACCAAAAGTGGGCTTCAGCAAAGAACAAGCTGAATTTCTAGGATCCGCCCACTCAATTGAGCACCACATGACTGTAGAAAACAATGAGGATGAACTCTGTGTCCCGTAGCCAGCTGGTCCCAGTGACATATGTTTAAGACAATGCAGGACAATTACGCTCAGGATTCCCTTTTATAAAGGAAGAGAATGATATACGTTCATACTTTTTTTTTTTAAAGGTTTTGCTATAAGGTGTGCTCGCCAGAGAGACAGAGAGAGAGAGACAGTGAGAAGGAAAGTGAGAGATCACCCCTTTGAGGGGATGGTCAGGCCACAATCCCTTCTCCTCCATTCTCCTCTTAGGATTCTGGGCACGCACGCACACATGTCCAGCGATTTTCAAGCCCCTGGTTCAGGATGCAAACCACAGTTGGCTATGTGAGAGTCCAGCACCATAACTACCATGCCACCTGCTGGCTCCATCTTTTTTCTTTTTTTAAATAATTATTTATTTAGGGACCAGCAAATGGCAAAATGGTTACGTCACTGGACTCCCACGTAGTAGACTGCAGATCGAGTCCTGGACTGGGTGGCTTAAGCTCACACCTGGCATATGTGCGTGCATGCTTAAGATCCCAAGAGAATGAAGAAGGGAATGTGCTGCAGCCATCCCCCCAGGAAGATGATTTCTCGCTCTCTGTCTCTGTCTCTGTCTTTCTGGCAAGCGCACAAGCCCTATAGCAAAAACCTCTCAAAAAAATTTATTTACCTTTATTTGTTAATATTCTTTTTAATTTGTAAGGAGAGGGATACAGAAAAAGGGAAAGTGAGAAAGCAAGCTTCCAGGTCTAGGACTTGAACCATGTTGGGCCATGTGGGAGTACAGTGGCCCAACCATCAAGCCACCTGCTGGCCCCCTTTTCTTTCTGAAAAAACGTGTCAGAAGGTGTGTGCTGGACAGAGAGGGAGAAAGCGCCCCCAGTGGGGCATGGTTAAGCTGCAGTCCCTTCTCCGTTATCCTTCCGGCCGGGACATACCCAGCATGTTTTCCAAAAGCCACAGGGCCTGGGACTCCGAGCCCGAGATTCCGGCTCCCTTAACCACCAGGCCACAGGCCAGCCCTATCCATGGAGGATGAGGGGGAACTAACTCCGTATTCTAACAGAAGTGAAATCAAGGGGCTGGCAGGTGGCACGGTGGTTAAGGCGCTGGACTCCCACACGGCTGACCGTGATCGAGTCCCAGACCTGGCGGCTTGCTTTCTCCTTTTCCTTCTCTTTCTCTGTCTCTCTCTGGTCAACTTCAAAAAAATAAAATAATGACAATGAATAAAATTAAATATTTCTTTAAAAAAAAAGTGAAATCAAACACTAGGACTAATCCTCTTTCCTAGAGGAATTGTACCTCAGGGAAACCAAACATTTGATGATATAATGTTTTTCTTTTCTTAAAAAAAAATTTTTTTTTAAGAATTTAAAAAGCCAACAGATCTGGGACTTGAACCGCGGTCGGCCATGTAGGAGTCTAGTGCCCTTAATCACTGCCCCGCTTGCTGGCTACCAAATTTTTTTTTTTTTTTTTTAATTTACTAAAGGCCTCACCAAACACAAAGGGGGGAGGGAGGAGAAAGTGAAAAATCACCCCCTGGAGGGAGGGCCACACCACGAGCCCTTCTCCTCCATTCTCCTCTTGAATTTTGGGCACGCACACACACATGCCCAACGTGATTTCAAGCCACCAGGTCCAGGATTTGAACTGTGGTGGGCGGACTTGAACTGTGGTGGGTTATGTGGGGGTCCACACCTCAACCACCGACACCTGCTGGCTCCAAGAGGAAATACACTTAAAAAACTGGTATTTCCTTCTTTTTAAAAATTATTGTATTTAACTTTACTTACTTATAGAATTGTTTTATTTAACTTTATTTATTTATTTATTTTAATAAACCAGAGAAGGACAATGAGAAAGGAAGAGAGAGAGGAAGTGAGAAAGCAAGCTGCCAGGTTAGGGAATCAAACGGCAGTTGGTCATGTGGGAGTCTAGTGCCCTTAACCACCACAGCACCTGCCGGCCCCCAATTTTTTTTTCATAAAGAATTATTTAACTTTGACCAGCAGGTGGCGTGGTGGTTAAGGCGCTGGACACTCCCACATGGCTGACCAGGGTTCAGGTCCTGAATCTGGTGGCTTGCTTTCTCACTTCCTCTCTCTCTCACTCTCACCCTCTGTCTCTCTCTGGTCAAATTAAGAAATAAATGAATGAATAAATAAAATTAAAAAATTATTTTTTTTTAAAAAAGAATTATTTAACTTTAGGGACCAGCAGTGGGTGTAATGGCTTTGTCACTGGACTCCCATGTAGTCAACCGTGGTTCGAGTCCCAGACCTAGTGGCTTAAACTCACGCTGGGCACACTGCATGTGTGCCCAAGATCCCGAGAGGAGAATGGAGGAGAAGGGATTGCAGAGTGGCCCTACCCCAGCGGGGTGATTTCTCGCTTTCTGTCTCTCTGTCTCTCTGTCTTTCCGGCGAGTGCACACGCCCTCTAGCAAAAACCTCTCCAAAAAAAAAAAAATTAAGTAATGAGAATTATTTAACTTTATTTAGTTAGTTAGTTAGTTTAATTTGACCAGAGAGGGACAGAGTGAGAGAGAGAGAGGAAAAGGAAGAAAGCAAGCCACCAGGACTGTGGTCAGCCATGTGGGAGTCCAGCGCCCTTAACCACCACGCCATCTGCCGGCCCCAGTAAAATAGTTCTTTTTAAAAGAAAAAAGAAAAAGAAAGAAACGTATCCACAAACTATAATGTGGGGCCATATTTAGATATTAATTCAAACAAATCAGTTACAAGACATTTGTGAGATTGGGGAAGTGTGAACACACACATACGGGGTATGAAATTTGTTGGTTTTCTGGATGTAATAACAGCGCTGCTTATTTTATTTTATTTATTTATTTTTTTTGGAGAGGTTTTTGCTATAGGGCGTGTGCACTCGCCGGAAAGACAGAGAGACAGAGAGACAGAAAGTGAGAAATCATCCCCCAGGGGGGGATGGCCACGCCGCAATCCCTTCTCCTCCATTCTCCTCTCGGGATCTTGGGCACGCACACACATGCGTCCGGTGTGAGTTTAAGCCACCGGGTCCAGGACGCAAACCGCAGTCGACTACATGGGGGTCCAGCGACATAGCCATTATGCTAATGGCTGGTCCCGAGTGCTGCTTATTTTTGATGTCCTTCCATGTACAGGTACAGAGGAAGAGCTTCCAGAACAGATGTGATGTCTGAGATCTGCTTCCCACAGGGAGGGCATAGGTCAAACAAGCTGGGCAAAATGTGGTGAGTGCGGAAGCGAGGGGACAAGCACCGCACTCACAGTACTGCCCGTGTGCGTGCACACCTGGACTGTGCCCTAATAGAGCGCTCTAAGTCTGTGGTCCCCACGAGCTCTCTGAAACACGCTCCACTTGGCCCTGCCGGCTGACTTCTCCCTCCTTTCCCACCTAAGGCTCCAGCCAGGCTGCCTTTGTGAAAGCAACTCCCTCCTTCCAGAATGTTCTCTGTTTCTTCCCGGGGCAGAGAGGACCCGACTCATGCAGGGAAGTTGCCCTCTCAGCATTGGCACTAATCAGGGGGACTTCTGTTTTCTGTCTGGATCGTCACCCTTGGGGGCAGGCTCCGCCGTGCAGCGCACCTTGCAGGAAGGGCTCCGTAGCCAGGCCGCCTGCAGTCAGCTCTACTTATTATGAGCTGGGCGGCCTCGGGCAATTTCCCTTCACGTCTCTGGGTCTCTGTCTTCTCATCTGTGAAGGGGGTCATAACAACAGCAGCTACCTGGAAGGCTGCAGGGACCTACGAGGAGGGCTTAGCCTCGTCTGACAGAGAAAGCACCCAGTGGGCAGGAAGTAGCGCTGGGCAGTGCACGGACTCGGTAAATGTTGGATAAATGAATGAACAAGTCCTCAAGGTCCGCCCAAACTCCCAAATTCCAGGACGGGAAGAGGAAGACAGGAAACCAGAACCTGCCCTGGGATCTCCAGTCACCCAGTAGGGTGGGGTTGCAAAGGGCAGGCCGAGGGTGCCACCTAGTGACCAGGCTGGGAAACACACACACAGGCACGCACACAGGCACGCACACCCTTGGATGAACAAGATGAAGCTGCCCTGTTTCCCGCTCTAGCCGCCCCTCCGTGGCTTTCCCACCCCTGGGCCCGCAGTGCACAACCAAGCTTCTCACGGATGGCCCGCTGGGCTCCCCAGTTCCAGGAGCTCTCACTCCTGGAAGAAAGGGCTGGGGGAACACAGGGGACCTGGAGCAGTCTGCCCGGATCCGCGGTCTAGCCTGGCCGCGTTCCTGACTGTGGGACCCGGGGCAAGTTCCCTAACTTCCCTGGCCTCGGTTTCCTCCTCTGTAGGAAGGGGATGACAGAAGAGCTTCCTGCAGAGCGGCCATGAGGAGGAGAGAAACTCCCTCCCAAAGCACTGACAGTCCTGGGCGCACAGTAAGGTGCTCAGGGCCCGTGGCCACTGATGTGACCAGTCCTCCCCCATGGGCGGGGCGCCCCAGGTGGAAACTGGTCCTGGGTACACAATTCACTCCCCCACAGCCACAGCACGCATGAACGTGCTGGAAGCCTGTCCCCCCCTTCTCCCCACACTCCCAGTGACCACAGGACTCTGCACATGCTGTTCCCTCTGCCTAGAACACTCTTCCCCACCCCGAGACCCAGCGCCTCCCTGTTACGGCCGCCCACAGCACAGGCGCCCTTTCCTGCAAGACCCTGCCTGATGTGTTCGTGACAACACACTTGGGTGGCGTGATGCCCGTCTGCCACCTCAGCGGGCACTGTATGCAAGGCAGGGCGGGGCCGGCACAAGAGGTGCCCAGTGAGGGTGGGGGCACCTGAGCATCGCCCGGCCTCCCGCTCCCCACAAGGGCTGCTCCCTCTGCAGAGAACACCCTCTTCACCTCACCCCTAGCCCCAGCCCCACCCACTCTTCACCGTCTGCAGACAGATTTGCACAAGGGGCTAGGAGGGCAGGGACCAGGAGGTGGCCCGAGTCCCCAGTGCCACCCAGCACGAGGCAGGCACGGAGAAGGGGCTCAGGATAAATGCGCTCAGGAAGGAGGGTTGGCTGACCTCCCACCAGGGCTGAGCAGGGGGCCTGCGCGGCACAGCACACGGCGGCGGGGAGTGCACGACCAGGTGTGCCCCACCCCTCCTGGACTCACTGCTCCCGCAGGTGCCAGATCTCGGTCTCCCGGGTATCCCGAGCGTCCTGGCCGTTCGGCCCTCGAAGACGGCCCAGCTCCTCCTTCAGTGAGCGGATGATGCCCTGCAGGACCACCGGGTCCGGCTTGCCCTGGTACGGGAGGGGCAGCGGGTAGTGAATCCTGGGGAGGGGATTAGAACCCGAGGGTAACTACCAGACTCTCAGATCTGCGACACGAAAACCACAACACAAGCCTCACCTCCTGGCACCTTGCGTTCCATAGGTACCTCCAACCCCCCCACACACACACACACACACCAACCCTCTCCCCTAAGAGCCTCTTAGATAGTCCATGTGGGGACTGCTGGGACTGGCGGCCCTGAAGCAGACTGAAGTGATTTGTCACACACCTTGTGGACATGACTGGGCATCACCTGACCTGTGGCATGCATACCCCTAATTCAGATTCCACAGCGGGAGGTTCTGACGGCCAGACCTGGGTCACCCCGTGGCTGGGAAAAGGGAGGGCAGCCTGATTAAATGCCCCTCCAGACACCGTTCATAGGGGATCGGTAACTTTCCATTAGAACTCAGGAGCCGGGGCCAGCAGGTGGTGTGATGATTATATCACTGGACTCCCATATGGCCAACTGTGGTTCGAGTCCCAGATCCGGAGGCTTGAAACACACTGGGCACATGTGCATGTGTACCCAAAATCCCGAAAAGAGAATGCAGAAGAGATTGTGGCGTGGCCATCTCCACTGGGGGCGGGGGGGATAATTTCTCTCTTTCTGTCTGTCTCTCTCTGCCTCTCCAGCAAGCACACGCACCCTATAGCAAAAATCTCTATCTAAAAAAAAAAAAGGAAAACTCAGGAGCCACTTGCAGCCGGGGCCGGCACTGTCCCCCAGCTGCCCCACGGCCACTCCCAACTCCCTTCTCCTTTCTGCCTCCCACTGTAAAAGCTACCGAGCAGATATTCAGGGTCCCAGCATCCCCTGCATGAAAGCACTTCTGGACAAACACGGGAAACCTGTTGGGAGTCTTCTGAGAACAAGTTTGTTTTCCTGATTAGAACAGCAGATGCAGGCCAGGTGGCCCAGCCCATAGCGTATTGGACTGCAGTGCTGAAAGCCACATGCCAGGCGTGGGTTCAGATCCCTGAGCTGGCCTGAATTCGCTGGGTGCATGCATAGGCACCCAGGATCCTGACAATCCTGGATATGGGCCATACCCAGGCCGCGCCCCATCCCCGGTCCTTGGAGGCCTGGAGAAGGGTGCAGTGTGCAGAGATCCTTTCTCTCCTACCCCCTGCCTCCCTCCTGTGTGCTTTCACACACATTTTCGAGCATTAAAAACAAAAATAAAGATGCAGTGAGCAAACTGAGCCCTGTCCTTCTTCCTGCCCTGACACAGACGCAATGCCTGGAGCTCCAGCAGCTATTCTGTGACCATGAAGAGTTAAAGATGTGACCGAAGGCCAGCAAGTGGTGTGGTGGTGAAGGTGCTGGACTCCCACATGGCCGGCTGCAGTTTGAGTCCTGGACTTAGCGGCTTGCTTTTCCACTGTCTCTCTCTCTCTGTCTGTCTCTCTCTGGTAAGCACATGTACCCTATAACAAACTTGGAAAAAAATTATAACAAATCAATAATTTTAAAGAAAAGATCTGATCAAAAAGTCAACACACTACGGGTGACAAAGACAAGATAAAACAGACACAGGAAGAGCCCGAGTCCCTAAGAGGCAGCCGACTCCCTTGACATCTGGCGTGGTAAATGCTCCGTGTCTCAGGCCCTGGTGAGGGGCATCCTGCTACTTGTAGCCAAACACAACACTCAGTGTTACGTGCCCCACTGCCGAGGGTGCCAAAGCAAAGTTTAAACAGCAGCCCACCCCTCACCCTGGGACCGGGGGTTCTGAGGTCTCAGCACTGCTTCTCCCGCCCGCCCACCGGCCCCGTGTCCCCACCTGTCAAATTCCACAGAGTAGATGAGGATCAGGTAGCGCTTGGAGTTGAGCTGGGCTGATCTGGGGGCCAAGGAGCCTGGGCGGCCCCCCATCTTGCGGTTGCGCAGGGACTCCAGGTCTGTGTAGGTCAGCAGGTCTAGGGTGACTGACTCACTGCTCTGTCAGGAGAGGAGGGGAGAAGCTGCCACAGGACCCAGTCATACCCAGCGGCGCCCCATCCCCGGTCCCTGGACCGGCTGGGCTTTCCTAAACTGAGGCCGCTGATCAAGACGGCCCCCGTGGGGGTCAGCAGGCGCAGGACTCCCACATGGCCAACTGTGGTTCGAGTTCTGGTGGCTTGCTTTCTTACTCTCTCTCTCTGGTGAGTGCACAAGCCTGAAGGCAAATTAAAAAATAATAATAATAAATAAAATTAAATAAATATTCTTTTTTTAAGCATTATTTTATTTAACTTTATTTATTTACTTACATTTTTTAAAATTCGACCACAGAAGGAGAGAAAGGGAGAGAGAGAGAGAGAAAGCCACCAGGTCCAGAACTGAACCATGGTTGGCCACATGGGAGTCCAGCACCCTTAACCACCACGCCACCTGCTGGCCCCAATATTCCTTTTTTTTTAAGAGAGATTTTTGCTATGGGGTATGTGCACTCGCCGGAGAGACACAGAGAGATAGAGAGACAAAAAGTAAGAAATCACCCTCCAGATAGAATGGCCACACTGCAATCCCTCCTCCATTCTCCTCTCAGTATCTTGGGCCCACAAGCATGCATGGACACACACACGTGCACCCCACGTGAGGTTAAACCGCCAGATCCTCGACTTGAACAGTAGTTGACTACATGGGAATGCAGCAATGTAACCATTATAACATCTGCTGGTCCCAAATAAATAATTCTCTTTTGGGGGGGAGGGGTTTGCTACAGGGCACATGCACTCACCAGAAAGACAGAGACAGAGAGACAGAAGCCGAGAAATCACTCCCCCAGGGGGGATGGCCATGCTGCAATCCCTTTTCTTCCGTTCTCCTCTCAGGGATCTTGGGCACGCACGCATATGCGCCCAGCATCATGAGTTTAAGGTCTAGGACTTGAACCCACGGTCAACTACATGGGAGTCCAGTGACATAGCCATTACGCCATCTGCTGATCCCCATCAAATAAATCATTCTTTTTTTTTTTAAGTGGACTCCTTACATGTTAGCATCCATCCCAGATAAATCAAGACATTCGGTTCATTTTTTTTTTTTTTGGAGGTTTTTGCTATAGGGCGTGTGTGCTCGCCAGACAGACAGAGACAGAGAGACACAGAAAGCGAGAAATCACCCCCCAGGGGGGATGGCCGTGCCACAATCCCTTCTCCATTCTCCTCTTGGGATCTTGGGCACGCACACACACGCGCCCA